AACCGTGCACTTTGCAGTTTTTGAAATCACCGGAAGCCTCCACCCTTCTGTTTCAGAATCTACACTTGTGGCTTTTCACTTTGCCAAGCCCCAAGGTATTGGGCACATTCTCTGCACCGTTGTGCCTCAAGAACCACAGGTTTCTCAGAAAGAAGATAACATCGGATAAAGGAGAGAAAAGAACACCCAAGTATTGTATATACCCATGGAGAAGTGTAGAAATTTTGGTCGAATAATCAACATGAAGAATCTTATCTATAAACTAGCCATTAGGGCTGGGCGGTTTCGTTTCGTTAATTCGTAATTCGTTAATAATTCGTTAATTTTTTCAATTACAAAACGATAACGAACCATTCTGGAGCAATTATTAAAAAAACGAATTTTCAAAAACGTTTTGTAAATGCTTCGTATTTCGATATTGTATTCGTTTCGTTATTGTTTTGAGGTCGTTTCGTTATTATTTCCGCATGTCTGGGCCAGTTTTATGGTTTAATTAGTGAAAAAAATTATAATATCACACCAACAGTCAACAACAGAGGGAGAGGGAAGCTTCAGAAGGTTTTGGAGGTTTTTTAGCGTATTTCGCGGTCGCGTCCGCCATTAACGAATCGATTCGTTATTGTTTCGGAAATCGATTTGTTAATTTTTACCATTTACGAAATTTCGTAAATATCGAACTTTTTAAAAGGAAAATTTTGTAATTATTTTTTAAAAAAACCCCCAAATACAAATCGATTTTAGAAACAAATTTTTCCGTTGTTACCCGGGCCTACTAGCCATCCCCTGCCACGCGTTGCTGTGGCCCACATGGGGGTTCTGTGTGGGAGGTTTGGCCCAATTCTATCATTGGTGGGGTTCAGAATGCTCTGTGATTGTAGGTGAACTATAAATCCCAGCAACTACAACTCCCAAATGTCAAGATTCTATTTTCCCCAAACTCCACCAGTGTTCACATTTGGGCATGTTGAGTCTTCGTGTAGGGTTTTGGTAGTTCGCCTACATCCAGAGAGCACTGTGGACTCAAGCAATGATGGATCAGGACCAAACTTGGCCCGAGTACTCAATATGCCCAAATCAGAATACTATTGGAGTTTGGGGGAAAATAGACCCTGACATTTGGGAGTTGTGGTTGCTGAGATTTATAGTTCACCTTCAATAAAAGAGCATTCTTAACCCCACCAAGGATAGAATTGGGCCAAACTTTGAATGTGGCATTCCTGACTGGCAGAATGTTTTTAAATGTTTTGTGGTGTTTTTGGGGCATCGAATCGTTGCCATTGTAAACCGCCCTGATTCGCCTAAGGGTTGAGAAGGGCGGTATACAAATATAGTAAATAAATAAATGAGAATGGACTGGATGGCCTTTGGGGAGTCTCTTCCAGCTCTAGGGTTCTATGTGAGCCAAAGAGGGATCTGTACTGCACAACTCAGCAACTTTCTGCCATTGCCATCCCAAGCTAAACAAACATCTCTCCTCCTCTCTGTCTTTCCCTGGTTATTTGGGAAAGAGGGGGAGAAAGAGGGAGGGGGAGAGATTCACATCAACAAACCGTGCAACCTCTGTGTTGCCTTCCAAGATCAAGTCTATCTCGCAGCCCTTCCTGCCTCGGCCGGCCTCCAAGCCGAGTGAGGTTTTCGGCAGGGGAGCTGGCAGCCCTCGCGAACAAGAGCTGGGTCTGGTCTCAGTTTGCTTCCCTCGCCTTCCCTGCTTCGCCAAATCCATGTGTAAATATCAAAGGAGAGAAATAACATTCCAGAATCCCCGGTAAGTCGAGTCGGGGTTGGAGTCCAAAGGAAACGCGGAGCAGGAGAAAACACAACCGCACGGACCGAGATGCGAAATCCAAGTTGGCTCCAGAAATCACTCCAAAAACAACAGAAGTGAGCACAGTATCAAATTTATTGCAACACTATCGCTCGAGGCAGAAGAAATTGTGATTTCAAGCCTGCCTTTCTGCGCTCCTGAAAACACATGCTTTTGTTTCATTCCATCACCTTCACCTCATATTTCGATTGATGAGAATCCAAATTCGCAAATTTAACTTCCGCAGGTTTAATTAATATTAATATGATCATGTTAATAATTCTTTCTAGGAATCTCTTGCTTCTTCACTACAATTATACAGCCAAATTCTGGCACGCAATGACCACAGAATTGTGGAAGCAAGAGATTTAAAATAAAATCCATGTTAATAAATTGTTGCCAAAATCAATCTCTTCTTGTCTTTTCCAGCAATTCTAATGTTGCAAATATGAATTCCCAGTTTATACTATCAAATGCTTTTTCTGCATCTAGGAATATCAAGGTCTTAATTTTTTTTCATTTGGTTTAACTAAAACTTCTGCCATGTCTGCTTGTTTCAAATTGGTCTTTTTAGTAAAAATACCCCTGCGTCCTGATGTATGAACTGTATTAGATATTTTGTTTAATTTCTGATAGTACTGTACTAAATATTTTATAATATTGTTTACCAATGAGATAGAAAGATATAGTATACAAGGTGCATGGAGTAGTGGTTTGAGTGTTGGGAAACGACTCTGGAGACCTGGGTTCGAATTCCCAGTCAGCCTTGGAAACCCATTGGGTGACCTTGGCCAAGTCACACTCTCTCAGCCCCAGAGGAAGGCAAAGGCAAATGGTTTCTTGACTGTGAGAGCAATTCAGCCATGAAGCCAGATTCTTAGAAAGGAGGTGGCTCTTCTTCTCTGGACATTCTCAAAAAGAGATTGAAAAGATAATTACTGCTAGGGATGCTCTGGTTGAGGATCCATCATTGAACATGAGGTTGGACTAAATGACCCATGAGGATTCTTCCAATACAAGAGCCATTGTCGTTGTTCATTCATTCAGTCATTTCCGACTCTTCGTGACTTCATGGACCAGCCCATGCCAGAGCTCCCTGCCGGCCGTCACCACCCCCAGCTCCTTCGAGGTGAATCCAGTCACTTCAAGGATGCCATCCATCCATCTTGCCCTTGGTCGGCCCCTCTTCCTTTTTCCTTCCAATTTCACCAGCATAATTGTCTTCTCTAGGCTTTGCTGTCTCCTCATGATGTGGCCAAAGTACTTCAACTTTGTCTCTAATATCCTTCCCTCCAATGACCAGTCAGGCTTTATTTCCTGAAGTATGGACTGGTTGGATCTTCTTGCAATCCAAGGCACTCTCAGAACTTTCCTCCAACACCACAGTTCAAAAGCGTCTCTCTTCCTTCACTCAGCCTTCCCTATGGTCCAACTCTCATAACCGTAGGTGACTATGGGGAATACCATTCCTTTAACTATGCGGATCTTCGTTGCCAGTGTGATGTCTCTACAAGACATCTTGTAGATGTCTCTACAAGAGCCATAGAGTAGCAAAATATCCCAGGGCTCACTCTGGGTGCATCTACACTGTAGAATGAAGGCTGTTTGACACACTTTAATTGTCGTGGCTCGATACTACTGAATCCTGGAAGTTGTAGTTTTCAGATTGCTGGTTGCTCACCAAACTATAGGATCCTTTAACATCAAGCCATGGGAGTTAGAGTGAAGTCAGGCTGCAGTGTAGATTCAACTTTTTTTTGGAGAGGCTGAGCCTAAGCCTCTCCAAAAATGGCCACTCAATCCCTGTTTAAAAACCTCCAAAGCAGGAGGAGTTATTTTGTGCCATGCATTTTTCTACAGGTTTTTCAGAAAGAAATAATTTTATTTTTCCAGGTGCTTAAAGGCAGGGAAGGTGAGACAGGCTCACTTTGAGATGCATATACAGATAAGGATTCAGAAACCACCATGTAGCCAAACCTCCTACCCTCTCAATTCATTTCATTTCCCATCAAGGGCAAAAAAAAAAACCCAGAAACAGTGAATAATAACTTTATCACTGCAATACTATTAGTCACTTATCTCTATCTCTCCCTTCCTCTCTCTCTCTCTCTCTTTCATTCCTGCCACAACTGTCTACATTAATTATCTTCAAAGAATTGGAATTAATGAGAAAACTAAAAGAATTTGGACCACTATCTGGCCAAAAAACATGGACTTTTTCAAAAGCCAGCTTGCTACTGGACACAAAACACACAATGGCTGGATCTACACTGTATAATTAATGCAGTTTGGGCCTTCTTTAACTGCCATGGCTCAAGGCTCTGGACTCATGGAAGCTGTAGTTTTACAAGGTCTAGTGTCTCCCCTGCCAAAGAGGGCTGGTGCTTCAGCAAACTACAAATCCCAGGATTCCATCGTGTTGAGGCATAGTAGTTAACGTGGTATCAAACTGCAACAATTCTACAATGCAGATGCAGCCAAGAATCACCAGCATGATTTTGCTCTGTTGACAATAGTCTTGATTCAACCTGGAAATTTCTCATTCATGGGGATGCCATCGAAGTCAACTCGATGGTAGTTAATGACAACAATAACTGGACCAAAGATACAACATTCCATAGATGCAACTCAGAAGTGTATGTCATTGAGTGTAGATATCGGGATCCTAACAATTTCACATACTTGAAACATTCACACCTAGCTCCAGCAGACAAGAGTCCTTTGTCTCACCCAGGTCATTCCACAGATATATAAACCCTTTTCCCTAGTTCCAACAGACCTCACTCCCTCTGAGGATGCTTGCCATAGATGCAGGTGAAACGTCAGGAGAGAATGCCTCTAGAACACGGCCATATAGCCCGAAAAAACCTACAACAACCCAGTGATTCCGGCCATGAAAGCCTTCAACAATACAATTTCACATACTTATTGACCCGTGATCCTGCAAGTTTCAAATCCCCATGGCTCCAAAGCCACATTCAGCGATTGTGGAACATACTATCCAAAATGCACAAGCTAAAGGAAGGAGATTCTGTGCAAAATTCCCATTAGTCCCAGGATGGAGATGTGGTTCTTGCATTCTCTGCAAATATTCTTAATAGGCATATTACAATCGTATAATTTCTGTCCAGAATGTTGCCTCACTTTGCACAAAATATTATTGTGCATTACACTGGTGTCGGTATTACACACTTACTGGTTTTTTTCTAGCACCAAAATAAGTTCTTTGCCCTCGACGGTCACCTCCACCTCTCCGCGGGCAGGGGTTGGCATCTGAGGAAGACAAAGAGGGAGACAAACAATTAATTCAGAATTATAATTTGCTTTCTAGGAGGACTCCAATGTTTACCCCTTTCTAGGTAGGCACAGCTGGATCACAAACACAGCCTTGGAAAGAGAGAAGCAAGGGCAAACAAACAAATAAGTTGTGTTTGATGCTATAACCAAAACATTTCTGTATTATATATACTAGCCATGCCCTGCCATGCATTGCTGTGGCTCAGTCTGTGTATTGTGTGTGTGTGTGTGTGTATGTGTATATTTGTACATATGTGGTTATGTGCATGTCTTGTAATGTATTTTTTATTTTTTAGCTTTTTTAAAGTCTCTTCCATTGTGTTTTTCAGTGTTTTATGAGTGATGGTCACTTGTTGGCCTAATAGGTGTATTGTGTCCAAATTTGGTGTCAATTTGTCCAGTGGTTTTTGAGTTATG